GGGGGCCACAGCAGAGAAGGCCCACCTTCTGGACCCTGTTAGTTGAAGTTCTTTTACCACGTGGATCCGGAGCATGCCCTCTCTGTGAGCGGGTGGGACGGGTTGAAATCGTGCGGGCGAGGCGGTCCTTCAGGTAACCTGGCCTCATGCCATGTAGGGCTTTAAAGGTGATAACCAACACCTTGAATTGGACCCGGAAGCAAACCGGTACCCAATGCAGCTCACAGAGCAGAGGTGTTATATGGGTCCTTCGGGCCCCAAAAATTGCTTACGTGGCCATATTCTGGACCAGCTGAAGCTTCCGGATACTCTTCAAGGGTAGCCCCATGTAGAGTGCATTGCAGTAGTCTATTACTAAGCAGAGCAATCCCATTACTCAAATAATGAAGTGTATCAGCTTAAAAAAACACACTTTGATTATTTAAATTATTGACATTTGTTTCCAACATGATTAAGATGAAGGGTTAAAAACTAGTTAGTTTCAACTGGTGTGGAGGAAGGGAGTGTGAGAGATGGAGAATTGAAATGCTGAATGGTAGCATTGAAAATAGAATTTAGGTTCCAATTTTCCATAAACAGTATAGTCTATAAAACTTTATAATGTATTTATAATTAGAAAGTTCTTACTTAAGTCTCAGACTAGGCTTGGAGTAGTTGCACTGCCAAAATTGTGAAATTTAATTCTTTTAGGCTGTATTATCAGTTTACAAGTACTACAGGGTTTGGTCTGTGTGCAGATGCACACGTGCCACTGTTATAAATGGAAAATGATTACATTGTAAGTCCATGGCTGCGATCCACATATCCAATTAGACCACAGAATTTTGCATTTAAATTCTATTTAATCTTGAATGTGAGTGAAAACTGATGACAACATTAATTAAAAGGTAGCTGAGGTTCTATTCTAAAACTAGGAATATAAAAGTATGAGATCAGAGAAAGATGAGATCAAATGGGTTTTTGGGGACAAGATAGGTATCTTAAAGGAAGGGGTAGACCACTTGCTGGCCATGGCCCCTACCAAAATATCTGACTGACTGAATATGGGGTTCTTGTGGAGTCCAGAGATACTGTAAATAAAAATAAGACATTTTGTTTTTCAGCATGCCAACATCCCATTCTTTTTTTTTTTTTTTAATGAGAAATATCTTTTGTTTAAAACAAAATACAGATGAACACTGGCAGCCTGACCAGGGTCAGTGCAGGTTGTGGCATAAGGAACATTATTGAGCACCTTTGGAAAAGCTTGACAAAAGGAAACTACAAGAAAAAACTCTTTCAAGATTCTGTTTGGTACAGTATATAAAATACCACCGCAGAGAAGATTTGAGCAGTGTAGGGCAATACATTCCAGTTGATGAAGCAGCACAGAACATTCAAAATTAAACTCAATTGCAATTTCATTTAAATATAAATGAAATAAATTCAAATGCAGACTTCTTTTCCCAACTCTGATTTTTTTTTTTTAGTATCCCCCTGGGCATGTCACTCCAATAAGATAAAACCTTTTGTGGGTTGATGCATGCACCTGATCTTTGAATAACAAGGTTTCCAGGGTCTCTGGCTTCAAGGCTCCAAGCTGAGGCATGAAGGAAAAAATGCTACTCCAGACCATCTAGTA